ATATTGGAGTTTTTCTCGACATGTCTGCCACTCGTTCTGCCTTCAGGTGTGGAAGTAACTGCAGGCGGTGAAGCAAAGGCGTTTGACACCCGGTCGTTCATAATGAGTCGACTGCAAGCAGAAGAACCTTCAGTCAGAAGTCGTCTTCAGATCAAAGATGACGTCAAGCTTGCGTTACCACGGACTGTTCAAACCAGGTACACACACACACACACACACACACACACAGTATGGTCTGTCCATGAGCTGTGGCTGAATTGTCATACACATATTTTCTCCATTCTGCTCTGTGGGTTTCTGGACCACTCTAGTAAGGAGAGAGGCGACTCCGCCAGCCCCAAGTTCATCGTGACCTTAGACGGGGTCCCGAGCCCGCTGGGTAATCTTGCAGAATGTGACGTGGAGATGGATGACGTGAGACCACCCTCGAAGGCCACAGAGGCGTCCGGCCTCATCCACAGAGAGCCCAAAGTCAGCGTCCTTCAGAGGCTGCAGGGAGCGGTCGCATCCTCAGAAGGTCTGGAGCTCAGCACAGATGTTCTTCACTGTAGCATCTGATTAAACTCCAGTTGTACCGTATTTTAAAACACAGAGTTCACTGATTTGATTTGAAGTGTTTCAGTCTTGTCTTTACACCCTCGTCCTGCTTTGACAGACGACGCGATGGACATCGAGATGGCAGAGGAGGACGCCGTCCCTTTGAAGAAACAGAAGGTTCTGGAGCGCTGCAAGTTCTGGCCGGTGTGTAAAAGTGGAGATGAGTGTGTGTACCATCACCCAACGACACAGTGCAAGTGAGTGCCTCTGTTAAAAATAAATAAATAAATAGTAGAAGTGATAAAGGAGTTTTTATCAGTTTGAATCAGAATCTTAATTCATGTTTGTATGTTTTGTTTGTCTGAAGGACTTTTCCCAACTGCAAGTTCGGGGATAAATGCCTGTTTGTGCATCCGAACTGTAAATACGACGCCAGATGCACCAAACCAGACTGTCCCTTCACTCACGTCAGCCGCAGAGGCCCTGCTGCTCCCCCGCCCAGACCAGGTACTCTCTCATTGATTTACACTCAATGTTGAGTCTCTTTTAAAGCGTGTCTGTTTTATTTAATCCACTTTCTATCTAAAAGCATTCACTGATGACATTCTGACAAAAGAAGTTTCAGTCACACAGTGGCAGTAAAGTTAAACAGTAACTCAGAAATACTGCAGTTTACAAGTACAGTTACTCAGGTTCTGTACTTCAAGGATTCCAGGTCTTTTATTGGTCACAAACACAGTTAAACATGGTTTAACGCACACCTGTTCCACACTGAAACAATAAGAATAAGATAAAATAAATAAAGAAAATTATACGATTATGTACGTGCATAGTTTTGAGGTAGTTGTACTTTTCTTCAGTATTTCCATTTTATGCTGCTTCCACTACATTTTACACGAAGATGTTGTACTTTTAAGATGAAGGTTTTGGTGGATCAGTGGTTAGCACCGTTGCCTCGCAGCAAGAAGGTCGCCGGTTGGCGTCCCGGTGAGGACACCCGAGAGTCTCCATGTTCCCCGTGCAGTGTGGGTTCTCTCCGGGTTCTCCGGCTTCCTCCCACAGTCCAGAAACATGCTGAGGTTAATTGGTGATTCTAAATTGTCTGTAGGTGTGAATGTGAGTGTGCTTGGTTGTCTGTCTCTAAGTGTAGCCCTGTGATAGACTGGTTACCTGTCCAGGTGAACCTGCCTTCACCCTGAGTCAGCTGGGATAGACTCCAGCCCCCCGTGACCCTGGTGAGGATTAAGGTGTAGAGATGATGGATGGATGGATGGATGAGGATTTTGCACACTCGATGCTGTAACAAATAAAAGCAGACTGTCAGAGATTAAAGCAAAAATCTGTGGTTTGAGGAAAAACGTCCACAAGTTGAAAACAGATTTGTGTTTCACTATGTTTTGTTCTTTTCTTTCCCATTAATTATCCTCTCAGATGTATCTGCTGCCTCTGTGTATAAAACACTGCAGCAGCTACAACAGCAACAAGCTGCTGATGCTTCCACATTAATCATCTAATTACTTTCTTTAGTGGTATTTTTAATGCAGGACTTCAACTTTAAAAAATGGCTAAAATCGCTTCATTGCTACTTTTACTTTGGGATCTTCTTCTGCCTCTGTAGTTTGCAGGATTGTCGTTGTTTTTGCCAAAGTTGTGTTGAGGTTGTCGGCATTACGTCTCCGTCACATTAATGATCAGCTGTTGGGCCAAATGTGCTCCAAGCAGATCTCTCTCACAGTGACCTGGAGTTTCTTTAAGTTAAGTAAGAACGGGAATATCTGCTGCTCTTAGAACACACCAGAGCCTCACTGAGTGCAAAACGCAGAATAAAGAGTTGAAGAAGCCCTGCCGTTTCTGGTTCTGCTGCATCAGATGTTCTCCTTTCTGACCGTGTTGTTGTTCTTCGAGTGCGATCTCACCTCTGACTGTTTGTGTTTGCAGCAGCGCAGCCAGTGCAGACCACCAGCGTGTGTCGCTTCTTCCCAGAGTGCAAGAAGATGGACTGTCCGTTTTATCATCCCAAGGTAAACACCGTGGCTTTAAATTACGAGAAAGGCCGTTTGCGCGCAGAGAGGATGTGTTGCTTTCAAATTCTGAGCCAATCTGAGTGTCGCACGTCTCGTCTGCAGCCCTGTCGCTTCGCGGCGCAGTGCAAACGAGCGGGATGCACCTTTTACCATCCGACCACCGCCGTGCCTCCGAGACACGCCCTGAAGTGGATAAAAACGCAGAGCAGGTGAGCGGACCGGACGTATGCTCGTTTAATATTTGATTTAATATCACTGAATTATAGCATCAAAAGAATCTTAAAGGATTGAGCTCAGCTTCATTATCGGGGCTTTCATCAAGTCAAACATTTACAGAAACATGTCAAATCTGATTATGTAATTAATATCTTCTGCTCCCACTAATTTGTTTTCTTTCCGTCTCGCAGCTAATTAAATCCGGGGAGTCCGAATCCCGAAGGTCAACACGTGAAGATGTGAAAGACGTTATTCCGTCTATGGATGCTCATCATGAGATCTAACTCTCGGTTCATTTGCTTTTAATGTATTGTTTTGAGTGATTTTTAAGGAAAAGCGTTTTGTAAGTCGAAATGCTGAGTTTTCGCCGCTGCGCTCGAAATATTAAATTCTCTGCGGTTAAGTTTATCTCACGTCGTCGTTTCTCGTCTTCTTTACACTGTTGGTTTACGGAGATGTTCAGCACGCGTGGTGGTTTCCTCTGGATGAAGTAAAGGCCACATCGATTATACAGTTGAAACCAGAAGTTGTATAGAAACACATTTTATTTCTCACTATCTGACATTAAATCTGACTAAACTTTCCTGTTTTATGTCAGTCAGGATTACCAACATCATTTTTATTTGCTAAACGCCAGCACTTTTTGTTACTTTCTTCAGAGTCAGAAGTTTCCATCCATCTCCTCAGTATCTGGTAGCGTTGCCTTTAAACTCTATGACTTGGGTCAAACGTTCTGGGTTTCCTTCCACAAGCTGCTCACAACAGTCTGATGAGTTCTGGCCCATTCCTCCTGACAGAACTGGTGGAACTGGGTCAGGTTTGTTGGCCTCCTTGTTCCACTGATGTTCTCCAGGATTCAGATCAGGGCTTTGTGATGGCCGCTCCACAACACTGTGTTGTCCTGAAGCCTCTCTGTAACTAATCTGGCGCTATGCTGAGGGTCATCGTCCATCTGAAGACCCGTTTAAAGCTTCCTGGTCCACAGTTCTCTTCCTGACATCTTGGCTGGTTTCTTTAGATTTTCCTTGTTGTCACAAAAGGAAGCAGCGTGTTTGAGGTGTGCCTCCAATTAACTCAGATGTTCTCAATTAACCTATCAAAAGCCTCCAAAGCTGTGACATCATCATCTGGGCTTTCCCAAGTAGTTTGAAGGCATCTTAGTGGATGTAAACATCTGACTTTGAAGAGAGTAGTAAAACAAACTCTCATTCTCATGATTCTGGCGTTTAGCAAATAGAAATAACGTCGGTCATGTGATGAGCGCTCTCCTCCGGGTCTCCATCAACACGTGTGCTGCTGAGTTTCGAAGCAGCTGAAACACGTTCTTGAGGAGACCAGAGAGCATCACGTTCTGTGGGAAACAACAGTGGGTAGTATCTCTGTATTGTCTCGAGATAAGAAAAAGAAAAAGATTTTAAGATGGTAAAATGTGTTCTCAGTTGTGTTTCCAGTGTGAAGTTCAAAACTGAGATATGAGTCAAAGACGACTCCTGCTTGTTCAAAAGGGTTTGACACCAACGTTGCAGTTTCTACCAGTGGTCAGGACTTCAGTTGTGTCCTGATTGAACTGTAGAAAGTCCTTCGCTATCTGTTCCTCGAGTACATCAGCTTTAAATATAAATGTGTCACCACCCAGCTAAAAGATGGGAGAGCACATGTGCACTAAAATAGATTATTTAAAAGAAAATTTTCATAAATTATGACAGCATAAAACCAAAAAAGGTGGAAGCCAGACAAAGGAGAGACCGCCCCTCTATATATATCCCTGGTTTCTGCTCTCTTCTGCTACTGAGGTTGACACAAAGTCCAGCTCCCAGTGGTCCCTGACCCAGAAAGTCCACCGTACAACAGCTACAGTGGGAGACGGTGCTGATTACACCGAGTAGAAACACTGATAAGAGGCAAAGCAAAGAGGGGAGGACAGGACAGAAGACAAGTGTCGAGTATCAAGGCCAGATTCCTGCACGACTCGTTCATTTAACCCTGTTCAGGACCTTGATAGACTTTTATACTGTTCAATACATTTTCTGACCAGCTGATGTATTTTTGGTTCCAAATGCACAACAAATGTCCCTCTTTCTATATTTAAACAATAAAAAAAACAACACCTGTCACCTAAACCAAATGTCCTGAAGTCCAAAAGACCCCAAAAAGTCCCTAGCAGGGTTAAAAATGTGTCGACACTGAAACAAGCTGAGCTCAAATATTATGCGGCTCTAATTGATAAATTATGTAACCTGATCAGGCAAAAACAAATGAAAGTTATTGTTGAGTTGAATCAGACTTTATCACAAACGGTCTTTTATATGCAGTCTGTTTGTCTTCCCTCCAAAAACCCTGTTTGCCCTCCATCGCCTCCACCTGGAGATCAGCTGCAACTACAGCAGCCGACAGAAACGCTGCTGCGACCTGCAGGTGGAGACAAAGCGACGCTAGACGGGTTAAAGCTGCTGCTGCTGCTGACTTACTCATCCTCCATCAGTGTTTTTGTGGTGATTGTTTTGTCCAGTAGAAGTGCGGCAACTGTTCAGAGAAAGGAAACACGACACAGAAACCTACTGGAATTACTGATGAGTTCATCCGAGTACTTGCAGGATGAAAATCACATAACATAAATTTGCTGAGTGAAAACAGTTTATTAAGAGTTAACAAAAGCAGATAGACTGTTGTATTGATTTGATTTGACCAGCAGATGTTCACAGCAGTGTGACGACCTCTCATGTTGATCCACGCTTCATCCCATGTGGCATTCACAATTAGTAATAAAAACCTTCTTCTTTTTTCTTTTTGCTGTAGATAACGAGGTTCCATCCTGAAGGTGTTGAAATCTGGAAAAATCTGTTTCACAATCTGAGAAAAGCGTCGAGTGTTTGAGTCGATTCTCTTCCTAAAAAAAAAAAGTAGATTTTTGATAGCAAACATCCTTCTTTTTTAAATTCAGTGCTGTTGAAAGGTAGAACAAACTGTGCACTTGAGTTTAATTATTGCTCCGAGTTCATTATTATTTAAGCAATTATTCCAACAGTTGTGCTTTATTGTATTTCAGTCACTTCATGGACAAAATAATTACTGCTTTTTTTTTTTTCTTTCTTTTTGTTTTTTGCTGCTGCGTACTTAAAGCTCCTCCACACTCGCTGTTCACCCACACAGGTGATGTCACTGGTTCACATCATTTAACAAAGTAGATATACTCCACTACCAGCAAAAGTCCTGCATGAAAAATCCTACTTGAGCAAAGTATATATGAGTGAAATGTAGTTATTAAGTATTAAAGATTTGATCCCTGTGACTGATATATTAATACATGTGTCATCATCAGGTTGTTAACAGTGAATTAGTTGCAGCAGGTGGGACAAGTTTTATAATCAGGGACAGCAGATAGATTTGAGAGGTCACATGGTTATTGGGGAAAGGAAAGAAGAAAATTCTGCTAATTTGTTTGTAGATTTTGGGCTTTTTTTTTCTTTTTTAATGACTTATTGATGATATATTAGATCTTTTTTTTAAAGTTGTTTTTTGGCCTTTATTTGACAGGACAGTAGATAGAGAGGGAAGTGGGGAGAGGAATAAGATAAGATCAGCCTTTATTTATCTCACAGTGGAGAAATTCACATTGTTGTTAGCAGCATTACACATAGAGATACACACAGACTAGACAGAAAAATGTAAGAAATAGTGCAAACAAGTATAAAAGTACACATAAAAGAGAATATAATGGGGGAGGGACCAACAGCAAATGACCATGGGCTGGATTGGAACCCATGACCACTCCATCATGGACTGTAGCCCCAGTACATGGCTCACCAGTTCAACCAGTTTAGCTATAGCGGCCCAGATTGTCTTTTTGAAATGAAACCATGTGAGATGTTTAAAGAGAGGAATCACTACTTGGTGGAGATGTTAACTTTTCGACACCTGAAGTCTGACTTCTGAACCCAAAAAGGCTGAAAACAGCCGGCTCCATTCTTAGCAGTTTGTTTTAAAAGCTTATCATCCTTCACATGAAAAATAACTGAAGCTGTCCAGTAACAGTACAATACTTCCGTCCCTATTTTGGATTAACAGCTTCATAAACGTGGCCATACGTCACCCCAGCACATGAAAACACCTGCGTGGGTGCGCAGGACCTTTGAGCTGGATTTTGCCATTTCGTTTGTTTGCTTATCTCCTCGTTTGGCTGCACTCGTTGGCCTGACATGTACTCTCACCACAGAGTGTGATCAGCGCACTGACAAACGTCTCGGCACATTTAGAGTGAATCAGATATTACGAGCTTTCCATCGGTGAAAATATTCGAGCTGAATACTCAGCAGCCGATGACGTCACCTCGGCCCCGGTTTGCAGCTCAGCCCCGATTGTCTGTCTCCAGGTGTAGGGGGCGGACCTGTGATCTGGATTGTGCTGATCAGGTGTCGGCACTGAGCTCAGTATTGATACGATGCTCTGGACCACCTGCCAAAGTGAAGAGACGCAGTAGTGCAGCCTGAGTAATACGTCGTGAGCCAGTTTTTTTTTACACTCCTCACTAAACCACTGACACACACTAACTGTCGTCTCTTTACATCACACGGCAGCTTCTCCAGCTTCCTTTGTCTTCTTATTCCCATCAACAAACCTTCTGCCGTCCTGTCAGTTCTTCACCTCCACCTGGAGAACAGCTGCAACTCCTCAGATGTGTTCATAGTAATGATAAATAAAAAATTGCTGAAAATTATGACATTGATTTTGAATTGTGGTTCAACAGAAATATACAAAATAAAAAAATTAATAAGCATGACTGGACCCGTCAAAACTAATATTTAGTTGAACAACCCTTTGAGCCAATCAGGTGTTTCCTGTAACTCTCAGTCAGACTTCTGCACCTGTTGACAGGTGTTTGGATTTCACTGCTCATCAGCAAAGAGCTCTCATTTATCCAGGACAGTTTTGTTTGTTTGTTTTTTTAAATTATTCTTTTCAACCACAATCCAAAATCAAGGTCTTATTTCACTAAATTATAATTTAGCAAATTTTTATTTATTATTACTTTTTCAGTTTCTACTTATTTGAGTGACTGTTGTGATTTTTTTCTTTAATGTAACGGGGTGAATAAATCAGAGGACGACTGTACATCAAAAACACAAAATACAGCTTCTAGTTCAACGCAAAACAAATAAAAGAGGCACAACTTTTGATCTGAGACAATCAGAGGAGACACAAATGACGCACAAAGACCGTCGTATTCGTTTTCAACTTCTTCTTATGTGAAACCTTCGTACAATAATGATTTGTCCTCGCTGAATTCCCTAAAACAGAGATGTGATCATTCAGAGATCCCCCTGAGTGATCGTTCAGGCATCAGTTCCCGGCAGAACAAGGTTTAAACTCTGACTCTTTCTCTTCTCGTGATGGTGCAGCCGGGACAAAGTCACAGATTGTAAAATGAGGAAGGCGATGAAGCCGTTTGCTCATAGTCTGAGTGATGCAACGCGTGAACAAGTTAATATTCCAAAAGACACAGATTTTGAAACACCTAAAGCGTATTTTTAGAAATAATAGAAAGAGCGGCACATAATTAACCACATCCATGATTGTTCCCCCGAGCAGGAGGAATTGAATCTGTGGTCAACCGTGAGCTGTTGTAGTGGCAGCTTAGCGGCTCATTTTCAGCTTGTTATTTTTCAAATGATTAGAATATTAGTGAAAGATAAGACTGCAGTGCCTATAAAACGTATGTTAAAGAAC